ATATCAAACATGTTAAAAAATATGGAATACAAATAGAAAACTTAAGGATATCAATTTTTCTTATATATTTATAATGGCTGGGACGTATATATATATCAAATAAATATATAAATATTTATGTGTTTTGTAAATATAAAAATAATAAAAAATATATTATAGACATTCATTTGGAGGTCATATATTATGTCATGTTAAATTATAATATAAATGTTTGTATATATATATATTCAACAAACTGTATATATATATATATATATATTGTGTGTAAATATTATATATATGTGTGTGAATAAAACAGATATAAATATATACAATTAAAATAAATAATATATAATTTATATATGTATATATATATATATATTGTGTGATATATATATAAATATAAATATATGTATATATAGAATATAATTTGTAAAATATATATATATAAAATATATATATTTGTGTGTATATATATATATATATATATAATATGTGTATGTGTACCATATATATATATATTAAATGTGTGTGTGTGATATATATATATATATCAATATTGTGTGTTCTTGAAAATATATATATATAAATATATATGAAAATTATATATATATATATATATATATATAATTTTATATATATATATATATATATATATATATGTGTATATATATATATATATATGTGTGTATATATATAGGAGAATGTGAAATGTATATATATATATATTTGAAATAATGTATATATATATGTGTGTGTGTGTTATATATATATATGTGGTTGTATATATATATATATATATATATAAATATATATGTGTGTTTGTAAATTAGTCTGGGAAGGAAAATATGTGAATTCATTTGTTTTTGTAACATTTTATGCAGTTTAATTCATAGACATTGAATTTTTGGATGTTTAAATGATATGATATATATGTGCGTTTGTGTTGTGAAGCGTGTGTTTGTGTGTGTTTTTAAATTACTTTAGAACAGGACAAAATTTACGTTTCAGAAAAAATTGAGTATATATAAAATTTTCGAATTAATATTAATTTGAGGAATATGCTTAAAATAGAATATAAAGCCTCTTGAAGGAGATAAATTTCTTTATTAAAGATATCTGAATTAATCCTTGATATTTTTAATAAAACTGTTTAAAATTAAATATATATATATATATATATATATATATATATATATATATATATATATATATATAATTTCTGTATTTAGGCAGCCATCCTTCATTCATACATGTTTCATAAAAGACGACAGACAAGGTACTGTCAATTGCTTTTTTATTTAATTTTTCTTTTGAAAAAACAATTGTTTTTTTTTTGTACACAGAAATAAAAAAACTATCCAAAAAATGTAGTTCCGAATTATTTTCGTCTGTATTTTTAGCCATTTTCGGGTGATTTTATTTTTGTTTTTTAACTGAGTCTATGGGTTAATTGTATGTTTTAGAGTTATGTAGACACTAATAATATTAAATAAATCAGAAAAACAATGAGCTGTTTTTTTAAAAGTAAAAAACGATACTTAACAGAAAAAAGGACATAATTAGATGAATTAATAGAAAAAGTTAATATTATTATATTCTTTTTTTTGCTTTTTTATTATTAATGCTTTCATTATTTTTAATCATTTTGACATGTGGTTATTATGTTTGTATTTTCTATTAGTATGTTTCGGATGGCGTCTGGTAAGTTTTTACGTGTGTTTAAATGAGTTCTAATGGTATGTATCGGATAGGTGTAATATAAAGTGTCTGGATAGGCATAAAAATTGATGGTATTATGAATTTTGTTTGATTTGGAATCAGTTCCTTAAGATATAAATTGAACTCATAAATAATGTGTTAAATGTTTTTAATTTTAATTTTGCTAAATGTGTTTTTACTTTTTTTTGAGTATACTTTTGAGCTTTTTTTAATTTTTTTTTGTATTAGATAATTTGATTGGGAGGTAGTGTAGATTTTTTTTATTGATACCAGCTAAATGAAGATTCATCTTTTTTGCAAAATTCTGAAAACAACATTTAACTTTTTGTAAAAGATATTTATGTTATTTGATTTGATTCACTATCATTATTATAATTTTTGGGAAAAACAGTCAAATTTGATGGTTTACTTTGAAATTTTTTAAATAAAGCCATTGTAAAATAGTGTTTTTTTTTGTTTTTTGAGTTCTTTGGAAAGGAAGAATAGACGGAGGATGAATTTTGAAAACTCTTTAAAGGAATTGATTATCACTGCTATTTTGTATCTGAGTGAACTAAAGAAAAGTTAAGGTGGCAAAAGTTTCTGCTAAACATTTTTTTGTTTTTTTTTTTTTTGATAGAATGAGAATGGATGGAAAATGTTGTTACTGTATTCTATTTAGAACGTCTAAGAATGGATTTTATTTTTTGACTAAAAAAAGCTATAGTTAAGGACTGAAGATTTTTTTTTTTTCAAATGGTCTTAAGAATATCTATTTTTTTTTTTATCCACTAAAATAAAATTATACTAATAATGTAATGGGCTTATATTTTAGGTTTACAGACCTGTTTAAAATATATATGTTTTCTACATGGAAATGTAATAATTGGAGAACAATTTTTAGTGATTTTCCCCAAACTTTTACCATTAGTTTGGGTGTAGATGCTGGTAATTTTGGACATAGAATGGGATTTTTTTTTGCATTGTAGAATTTTTTGAGAATAAATGGTTTGATTGATGGCGATAGGATAGGAATTATTAGGTGTCTTTTGGAATTTAGGATATTGTTAATGGTTTGAATGACAGGAAGGTTTTCAAATAAAATTCGACGTCAGTTGACGCTATGATAATTGGTATTTATATATATATATATATATATATATATATATATATTGGGATTCATAAAAAAATAGCTATTTCTAAACCTGTAATGTACGTAATCGCTCACATATATGGTTGATTGTATCTTTTTATTTAGATCATGTCTATATCTATCTGTCTCTCTCTCTCTCTCTTTATATATATATATATATATATATATATATATAGAGAGAGAGAGAGAGAGAGAGAGAGGGGGATAAAAATATAAAAATTTTTAACTTAGCTGATTGGTTTTATCTTTCCGCATCCCTGACTCCACAGTTTCAAAGACTGTCTCCCCAGCAATCTCCCGTTCGATTCGTGGATTGTTTGATATTATATATATATATATATATATATATATATATATATATATATATAATAAGAAAAACAAAATTTAATATTCCATGGTCATAATTTATTCCATTGGAATCGTAAATCTTCAATTATTTGATTTTGTTTGTTTTTATATATAAATATATATATATATTTATATATATATATATATATATATATATATATATATGTGTGTGTGTATAAAATGTAATATATATATTCATATGTTTTGATATATATATATGTATATTTACCACTAATATTATCTATCTATCTATCTATACTAGCAGCATCGCCCGGCGTTACCCGTACTTGATTAAAAAATAGTACGACTGATACAGCAATCGCTATCACTTGACTTAAAATATTTTTGCCCTTCCTTGCCTTTAGAGGAGTGGCCTTTGCCGTGCTGATGTTGTTACATGCCTTACTTCTTGCCTATCTCACACTGCCAACTTTTTCTAAGCTCTATAGTAAACATTAAATCTGTTACGAAAAAAGAACTAAACAAAATAAACACAATATGATCAGCTTTAAAAAACCAGAAAAAACATTTTTTCAGGGTTGACCGATTGTCGATTTGCACTCTGATTGGGGTGGGGTGCTCAGAGTTGAAACTTCACATGATGACCCAATGGCCTCTTCATAAATTCGCTCGGTTTTCGCTAAAAACCGACATGCGGTTCAGACGCAATCTGGGCATATCGGTTTTTGGGTTTTATCGATTTTCCGCGCTGTTTAGGGGTCCGTGGTCATGAAACTTCTGGACAACACTTCTAATGGTAGACTAAGAGGGTGTCAAATTTGGTTGAAATGCGATCATTCCTTCTGTAAGCAGAATTTTTTTTCGATTATCGATTTTTTCGGAACCTGATTCCGAACTCAAAAAAATCGGGCTCCGTCATGTCCTTACGGCAGCCATTGCAAAAACTTGTGTTGAAAACCGCATCGAAATCGGGTGAGAAATGCGGCCTGGGCGAGGTAACAACGCCCACGACAGACAACATGACAACAACAGAGAAATATAGATATATATATATATATATATATATATATATATATATATATATATATATAAAATCGAATATTTAGGTTTTAAGTGAATATAATGTTGTCAAACGATTAACAGCAGTCTGTATAGAAAATTTAGTTATTCTTATGCGTCAAAAAATCTCTTTCATAATGTGATTGAACATATGTATTTTCCACATCTTCAAATTCTTTATAGTTCATTCAATTTGCAATATGTTAAAGTTCACATTATCCTTGGCATCCATTTGGAACCAATCTGCTAAATAAAATTCTTCTTATCTGACCCTGAGGCCTGTTACCATCATAAGAAACATTTAGTTTGTTATAGATAAGTATTGAAACTTAATGATTTATTGATAATATATATATATATATATATATATATATATATATATATATATATATATATATATGTATATTATAATATATATATAATATGTATTTTTGTAAAACTGCAAAATTGTTGCACCTGTTATTTTTTTAGACATTTAAAATAAAAATGAAACTAACGTAAGTTGCATTTTAATTTGAATCATCTGGAAATTGTCTGAATCTCATGATTATTGCCACCAATGCAAATCTGTCCTGTTGGCACTGACACTCTTGTTGCAATCGAAGTATGCCCTCTTTAATAGGAAACAAATCTCCGGCCACCTGGATTCATTTAAACATTGACTAAATATCGCACATAACCTTCAAGCTAGAGATGGCCCTCACATAAAAGGTCATTTAAACAGAGACATTTTTTTTTCTTTTTTCCTATTGATATTTCAACGTTGTTATAATATGTATTCCTGAAAATGAATGATTTTATGCTCATATCTACAGCTTACATTAACAAATTTAAAACTGTTCATTTTTTTGAACAGCCTCTGTACAGGTGAATTTGTTGAAACACACACACAACACGAACACACACACACAGACACAAACATAAATTAATAAACATACACGCACACGCATGACAATTTGGGAAACTCTTATTTTGACATGTTTCGCTGATGAAACAGCTTCATTAAAAAAAAATCTACATTGACGAGACAGAGCATGATTCGAATAGGCATGTGAACGCTGGCTTGTTTTTTTTAAGTATCGTTTTGTTTTTTTTCCTTGAATTAGATTTTACACATTTTTTAAATTTATATTCAACTATTATAGTCTAAATATATTAATGTTAAATATTTTCAATAATAATAATAATAATGATAGTTTTTAATTATTTTTGAAATAAAAATAGATTTAGTCTACTTTGCACGCAATGGAAATAAGGATTTAATATCTGAAGTATATAAAAAAATTTTAAAAACTAGACGTTCCTTTAGACTTTGAAGTTTTTCTAATTGTAGATTAAATAAAGAGTTCTAGTTCAAGAATTCAAAGTTTTCCCAGATCTATATACAGAGGAAGGCCAGATAATTTAAAACGAATAAAAATAATAATGATGAAATCAATAAAGATAAGGACAATAGTCCGAATATAAACAGTTTTTAAATAATGGTAAATTCATTCAGAAAATCAACATATATATAGGAATATATATATATATATATATATATATATATATATATATATATATGTCAAGGTGTGTGTGTGTGTACAAATGTTATGTATTGATGTAATAGGAATGAATAGTCAAATTAAAATCCTAAAGTTCTTTAGTATTTAAAACAAATAAAAGAAAAAAATAGTATTCATTATAGAAGTAAAATAAAATTATAATTATTTTTTTTAAATATGTTTCCATTTTGACACAAGAAATTACTATGATTTTCGATTATGAAATCAAGTCCTACCAAGTTTAATTTCAAAATTAAATTTAAATTTTTAGAGCACAGTTTCATTCCCAGCCTATGTTAGAATAAAAAGAATAGAATTGTATTATACCAATGCACAATCTCATCCATTGAGACATCAAATATTGAAATGATTTATATAGGATCCATATGAAATGAATTTAAAAAGAGGTAGAGATAACACTAAAGTTCTTTCAGTAATATTAAAAACCAAAACCAAACGTCTCTATCGAAATATTTTGGCATTTAAAAGAAACAAATAAAACACCAACAGTAAAATAGAAAATAATAAATAGAACAAGAACTTGTAGAACCAGGAATGGCCCATCCCCTTTATGCCTACTTGAAAAACTACATATTATCAAGTTTCTAAAAAACAAAAAATTATTGAATCAAAGAAATGAAATAACGGTTTTTTGCAGACAACACCAAATATACGCCTTAAAAAGTTAGTAATTTATAAATAGATAGATAAAAATTTACAATAGAAATTAAATCCAAAAATATATAAATATTCCACAATACCATCTAAAATCTATTAGCAAATTCAATAAATTTCAGACACTTATAAAATTATAGTTTTAAAAGTACAACCTAATCATAACTAAAAATCCCTAAAACAAACCATCAATGAAAAAAAAACAACAAAAAAACAATAAAAAAGACTGTAACTAGAATATCAATCAGTAAGAGATTTAACAGATAGTAAGAAAACAACAAAGCTTGATAGAAAAGGCTATTATAGCCAGAAAGAAATTCCCCAAACCAACCTTACACGACTCCGTAAACTTGACATACCACAAACATTCTTACATTCATCAAAGCAGAAACCACTTGATAATAAGAGAGAAACCCAAGATTACACCCCCATTTCCAACCCATAAATAAGTAAAACATTTCTTTGCTTTATTATTGTAAACATCGCTTGAGAATGAAAGTGTGGTCTAAATTTTAAGTTTAATTTTGAAATAAATTTTTAGGTTTTTAATTTCAGTTATACAAAACAGAAGGAATTTTTTTACTGTCGCGATGGAAACATATTTTATTTTATTATATATATATATATATATATATATATAAATATCTATATATATATATAAATATATATACTTATTTCATGAATTATAAAGAGAAAAGGATAATTTCAAAATTAACGCTATTGAATCTGCACCGCTCTTCATTGATGAATTGAACACTCTGACTGCTGGCGTTTACATACATCCGTATAAATTTTAATTTTATCCTAGTTGAAGATGCTTTAAATTTCTATTTTTTGACAAATGAAAACTTTCGTTTGAAAAAAAATATGTTTACCCGATGAAAGATTTATTACGGATAATGGTCTATAGGATATTAGACATTATGATATTTTTAATAATATCGGAAAATTTGACAGTTTTGATCTAAAAAAAAGAAATCAACAAATCAGATGTTTATATTTGGTAATTCGATTGAGCAATTTGTAGATTTAATGAAACAACGAAACAGATTGCCTCAAAACAATAAATATATATACGATATATATATATATATATATATATATATATATATATATATATATATATATATATATATATAAAAATATATGGAAAAAAACAAACAAAAATCCTTATATGCAATTATGCTGTTTTAATGTTAATATAATGTCAACGTCGGACGTTTCGGTCTAATAAACCATCTTCAGGACATATTCATAAAATATAATTAACATTATCAATTCAACAATGACAAAGACGATGGACATAAGAACAAGACTTAAAAACAGATAACTGAAAGTTTTATAAGATCAGCGTTCCGTTTAAAATATGAAGATGATTTATTAGTTTGAAACGTCCGACGTTGACATTATATTAACATTAAAACAGCATAATTGCATATAAGGATTTTTGTTTATTTTTTTCCGTATATTTTTCTTCATACTGTCGGATCTATATCCATATATTTGCTTTATATATATATATATATATATATATATATATATATATATATATAAAATATAAATATATATTTACAACAGGTTATGTCAATTTCATAGGGTCATAAAAAAATATATGGACAATATATATAAAAATTTTTATATAAATATAGGTCATTTGTTAAATATTTTTATAACGGTTTAAAAGAAGAGGCAGGATGAATCCAATATTTTCCATTTTGGGGAGGTGTCCTTAGTTATAATACTGAATGTTATATAGGCTCGCTGAATGAGGAGGTTTAATTATAATATATAAACATGAACATATAAAAATATATATATATTGGATGACATTTTATTAATTTTCGGTAGTTTGTTTATCTTTTTTATGTTAAAGCTTCAAGTATTTGTAGTCGTTTTTATAGACCTGACACACTCCAACACGTGACGACAATCGAAATCCACCAAGAAATACAACGGGAAAAATCTGATACAAACAAGTTAAATCTGGTAATTAATCATTCAATGTTGAAACAATTTAAACCATAAATCCCTGATATTGACAATTTAAACCTTAAAGGGGAATACCATAAAAACTGTAAATATCTAAAAATCTATTATTTATTAATATATATATATATATATATATATATATATATATATATATATATATATATATGAAATATTGTCTAAACGGTAATTATTTATGGGATAAAGTTGTTCAATATCAGAGATATTTTAGAATAAATTTTAAATATTTAAGTCAACACTTATAAACGATTGCATATAGCATGATGTTAAATTGTCGCTCTAAGTGTTGACTTTATGTTTATGATCATTATATATATATATATATATATATATATATATATATATATATATATATATATATATATTATTTTTATGGATAGTAGTTTGATTTACGGGGTTAAATTAACTTCCGCGATTTTCATTTTAAACTACTATCGGGATTACAAAATCTTATGATTTATATAATTGAAATATATTAATAATATCATAGATATTATAAACTCTTTTAAAAAAAACCACGCACACACAAACACAAACATCCCTAACTTGCACAAAACACACACATAACACATATATATATATATATATATATATATATATATATATATTGGAATGACAAAAATTTGCAACATTTTCCTTATTTATGCTTGTTTAATGTAAAAGCTATAAATGTTATAATAATTTTTTTTAATTTAAATTAATATTGGTTAGGTTCTTTTTTTTATATGTCCCCATTGGATTTGGGATATTTTTTGCAAAAAGGTTCAAACACTTTTGGTATTTAAAAAACAATTGATATATTTTTCAATGATATTTTTTGGTATCGACCCGTTACGCTTTGGTGGATACATATATAGGATTTTTATGTATCTATTTTAAAACATCATATTTTGAAATAGAAAATAATTTTTCTTTCTGTAGCTTCAAAAGATATTTCAGACTTTAAATAAATTGAAATTCCAACCCAAATAAATGTTTAAAAGGTGTATGGGATTTTTCAAAACCACAAATAATGAAAGACATTTTTATCTAGAGAATCATTATCCATTGGATATGTGGGATTTATCAGTTTATAAATTAATATATATAATTATGTTACAATGCGTCAATGGATGCGAAAAAAAAGATTTATTTTACACGCCAAATATTTATTTATCTATGCAATTTTCTGCCTTAATGCACTTAGTGATTCGCCATTAATCACACAGATCAATTTTTTTCATCATAATCAAATGTCATTAAAAAACTATGTTCGGGTATGAACTTTATTGATTTTCTCTCAGGAAATTTTTAACGGTAAACTTTCAAAAACAGCCATCGCCACCTTCACGTGGATGTGAGTGTGGTGTAATAGGAATATACTGATTTTTTTTTTTTTACAGCATATCGACTCCTTATGGATTATTTAATCCAGAATGTAATATTCTTGGGAGCTTTAGAGTAATAAAAATATGATATATGTTATTTTGCTTTCACAATTGAATACATGGTAGATGATACTCAGCTTTTGTGTATATACATGTTTATGTGGACATAATTACTATAGGCATTGACACGTGTTTTATGTTGTAGTTTTGTTGATGTTATATTTTGGTATACAGTTTGATTTCTTTAAGAAATTTTAGGATATTATATGGATTAATATCATGTTCATGTTGGCTGGTTAATTTTGTTTAGCAGCATATCAACACCTCTATGGGTTCCTTTAATGGCGGAATCTAAATATTTTAAATACTATTTTATGGATTCAACTAAATATATTTTTGAATTCAATTTCATGCCTTCGACAACAGATAAAATATGTTATTGATCATTTTAATATAAAATATATTGTTTTCATTTTTTATAAAATTTAGGTTTTGGTAATTTTTTATAAATATGTATTATTTTGGTATTTTTTTATATAGTTATATTGCTGGTATTTTTATTTTTCCATATGTTTTTGTTTGAGGGGGTTCATTTTTGCCCTTATCTGGGAAAACAGGTGTTATTAATATTTTGGGAAAGTTATAAATCCATCTCTTTCCCCACTATACAACTATGAGTTAAATAGTAGGAAAACTATCTGGAAAAATCATTGTTATTCTCAAAACAATTTTAAAGCAATATTCATTTGAAAAATTTCAGCCAGGTTCATTACGTTGCACTAACGCACAAATAACCTTGGGAAATGGAGTCATCTCTTCTCCTTCAGCTATGGATTAAATAATAGGACTTCTACCTGAAAAATCATTGTTATTTAAAAAAAAAAAAAAAAAAGAAACGTTAATTCAATATTCACTCGAAAAAAAAATGTTTATTACAATCCAAGATATATGGAAGAAATTTTTAAAAACATACAAATATTTTTTTTTATGAAAATTAATAGATAAAAATAATAACGTAATAATGTCGTTTTTGACGTTAAAATTACGTCAAAAAACGACATTATTACGTCATTATTTTTACACCAACCTAATAAAAGAAAAACAAATCAATTAACCAATCAATTCGCACCTTCGCATATCACCGACAAAGTTTAGTTAATGGTTTAAATTTATTAACTTAAATAAATTAAACGAGAAGGAAATTTATTTAAATGGGTCTTAAAGATGATTAATTTCGTCTTATCTAAATCTTCGCCCGGGTCAGAGCGTTAAAGTTCTCGAGAAAATAAAGAAACACGAAATTGATTCTTACAGCTTGACTTATGACAACCAACTAGTGACACCCAATATCAACGGAAAGAGAATAATATATGTCAACACAGAAGTCCTCGTTAAGTTATTTAGAATAACAGTCTATTGAGCAAAAAAATGGTTTTTGTAACCAAAAAAAAAAGAAAAATTGTTCACCGAGGAAAATTATATGACGTCCTAAAAAATATTAAAAAGGTTGATCGAAAAAAAATTTTTTTTTTAAAATTATATTGTTTTATTTTGTTTTGGTTTGTTTTATACGACAATTAATCATTTTAGTTGTTTTTCACCAGAAGTGTTTTAAATCTTTTTTACTGTTGACCCTTGAAAGAATCATTCAAACTTAAGAATAACGAAGTCGTGAGCTTTTTTGGTTCGGCTCCCAACAAAAATCATCATCCATAATTGTGAAATACGAAAGTTACACCCATCCCCAAAGTGAATAAATCACATTTACGAATTTTAGATTTTCGTGGGAAAAAGGATCTAAAAATAATCACAAATTTTTTAAAATATCCATCATGAAAACTCTACATTCAAAATGTATAAAAGAGTCTACATAATTATCAATTCCTTTCTTTCAGGTAGGTCCATGGAGGATGTTTTGAATGACTCGTCTTCTGAGGCTAATAAGATCAATATTGATCAATGATTCTCAACCTTTTTTTTATCACTAAAATTTTTTTTAATCTTAATTTTTTTTTGTGGACCTACAACCATTCGATAAAAAAAAAAAAAAAAAAAAAACTTACTTTTTATTTAGAAATTTAAATTTATATGCTTTATTTTGAAGTAAAATATTTTGAATGAAAATAAACTTGTATTTAACAACCAAATTCTATGGAACTTTTATATAACTTCTAGTTAAATAACCTCGTTAAACCATTTTAATATATATGAGTAATTAATAAATAAAAAAGATTTATTCAAAGGTTTGGTGGTTATGTATATTTCAATTAGCCCGTTTTTTTTTTTTAATTTTTCTTTGGGTCTGTCGATGACAATTGCAGTCGAAGATCAAACCCTTTTCCCAATGTCGAGTGTATTTCTTTATTTTATTATATTTTATTAACATTTAAAATTAATATTATTATTCATTATTAATATATGAAATTATTGTAATTTTTTTTTTTTAAGAGTTTCAGGATAAACTCTAAAACAAGGGAAGCTTGAACATAACGCAACTTTAATTAGAGAGTTGGAGCGGGAGAGCAAATAGGGAATGATAGAGGAAAGGATGAACTGAAGGATAGGGGATAGATCAGGACATCTGGAGACGTCGATTGAAATTACATTTGAATAGTTGAAGATTTATAGCTATCATGGAAACAGGAAAAGTGGAGGGAGTTCCATGGGCGAAGGTGCAAGAATATGAAGATATTGATAGAAGAGACGGCTGAGAGGGGATGCCAGATAAGTAAAACGCTTAAATTCAAAAGTCCGGGAACCAGCGATAAAGAATTTATTGAATAAATTTGTCTTTTAGTATTTCAAGGTATTTTGCGTAATTTTGGTAAATATATCTGTTAAAATGAGATGTCAGTGTTATTTTTAATTTTTGCATAATTTAGATGACAATTTATCATTCAAAATTATATATATATATATATATATATATATATATATATATATATATATATATATATATATATATATATAAATTTGTTTTATTTAATAGTTTCTTTTTTTCCTCCTCCAACTTTTCTTCACACTCTTCCACATCCTCCTCCCCTTCCAATACTACTACTACTACTACTATTCCCACATTATACGCAACCCCACATTATACTCGTTCTTCTCCATCTTTTCTCTCCACCTCATTCTCTATTCATTCTTTTTCTTCTTCTTCCATCTTTTCCTCCTCATTCTTCTCCATTCCTCCCATTTCCTCCTCCTCCTCATCTTCTTCTTCTTCTTCTTCTTCTTTCCACAGTTACTACTTCTCCTCTGCCTACTTTACATCCTCATCCTTCTTTGTCTTTCCCTCCCTAGTTTTCTCCACTTCCTCCTCTTTACTCTTCTTGCTTCACCTCCTCCTCCCCCTTCTACTACTACTTCTTCTCCGCCTACTCCACATCCTCATCCTTTTTCTTCGTCTATTCCCCCTCATTCTTCACCGCGTCCTCCTCCTCCCCCATATTCTTCTTCTTCTTCTTGGCCAATGATTGCTTCGCTAAGAACTGATCCGTTGCATTAACAGGCAGTAAAGCAGAAACCGGAACTTGTTCAATTTTGAACCTCATCTTTAAGTTGTGGTCGGGTTAATCATTACACAACCGGAAGCTGCACTTTCTACCGACAAAATGCACAAGATTCCTATCTCAGTTTGATATAGCTTGTCACAAGCACAAATGTGCATGCTTTTAGTCGACACAAAACGTGAAAGAATTTAACTGGCAGACATTAAAGAAAATTTATTCATCGTATACAGGCTCTATGAAACAAAATATTATACATAAATGTTTCTATAAAAGAGACGAAAGAGCAGAGCATTTGTATGCGCATGCGTATTCGACATCTTTTCGCGTTAATTCATAACGTAATATTCTCGGTTATATTTGCTTGGGTTTCAGTATTCTATTGAAATTATTTGATTAACAGAATCGGATTTCCTTATTGCTTCATACTATATGGCAGTTGTGCATATTATAAATGTTGCATGAAACTATGTCGCTTCACTTAGCGATGTTTTATCTAATTCAAGTAGTGAAAGATGGCGAAATATTGGGAACTAGACGAGGAAATGATTTTTAAACACTTTAATGAACAACCAAGTGGGATTAAAAAAATAGAGAATGCACGGTCTGACGAAGGCAACAAAGATAAGGATATTAGTCAGAATAGCTCCTAAAATTATTTATAGACCCTTCATGATTCAATGGCACACCAAAAGCGCCATCTTTTTTTTTTCGGTGAAAGGAACACTTTAATGATGAGTTATCAATTGGTGTCATCTTCCAGTATGTTATTACGTTAAAGGCTTTAAAAATTATTGTATTGGTTCGTGGTGTGACAAGGTATGAACTAAAATCCTGCGGATCCCATATTTAGCTTAAATGGGATACACTGTTCCGAAACGAATGTAAAATATTATCCCCCCTTTATTTTATCGATCTTCTTCCTATTTTGAATTAATATTTTTGACGTTATTCCCGCTGATATTATCCCAGAAAATTACGTATGGCTAAAGACACACACACACACACACACACATTCTAGTGTTGCATTACACATCGACACTGGCATTGATATATTTGCAAATGAATCATTATGGTAGATGAGCAAGTGTAAAATAAACAACTCTAGTTGTCCCTTCAATCTTGTTTATCATCGCTTGAAGAAGAAACATCAATAGATTTTCGCAATTAAATTTATAGGAAAAATGATTTTCGCGATGAGATTTAAACGAAAAATAATAAAAAAAAGTTCACAAATAGAATTTTTCATTTCTTTTTTTTTTGTTTTTTAATCACTTTTAACTCAAATTGAAATGTTCATTTTATCGAAGTTCATAAATCCTTATCTTGCCTGCATGAGGCGAAAATTAAAAAATAATAAGGAAGGTTTTTTATGTAACATTTTGTAGAAAGGAGAGATTATCTGCAAATTTTCATTTCAAGGAATTGTTTTATATTTCATAATAATCCAATGGCTGAAGCTTCCACAAGATAATAGAGAGAAATACCATTTTGTAAGCATTTTTTTTTTTGCTTTTTTAACACTAGATGCCTATCTGCAGAAAATAAGAAAATGATAATGCTATGATAACGCTTCGAAATAATAACAAATTAGACTAATATATATATATATATATATATATATATATATATATATATATATAGGGAAAAGACGGTTGATTTATCATTAGCCGATGCGTTTCGTCCAATGTGAACATTTTCAAGGCAAAAACGAAATGAATTTATTATTTGGTTAAAAAAACAAAATGTCCACATTATAACTAGAAGAAGAAAAAACGCTATTGTATTTATATTGTGAACTGAAAATTACAATAGCGTTTTTCTAAATTCTTCTAGTTGCTGGCGACATTTTTGTTTGTTGTTAAACTTACTTTGTTTTCAATTTTCATTTATTGTTTTGCCTTGAAAATGTCCACATTGGACGAAACGCGTCGGCTAATAATAGTTTTCCTATTGTCTTTTATCTTTATACATATTATCTTTTTCTACAGGGTAACTCTGAGAAATTTTTCATATATATATATATATATATATATATATATATATATATATTATAAGATAAAAAGAAATAGGAAACATTTATCAATTTAACATGTTTTACTTTTATTAAAGCTTCATCAGAGAATTGAAATATGGCGAAAAAGAAGAAAGAAATTCTGGTATTTTTACTTTTGTGTAGTTGGATTTTCATTGGTCAATCCTGTTTCACGTACATTCGACTCTTTAAACCAACGTTACTATAATTTGTGGCTTTCCGAATTCAGGGAGTGACGACGTTTCCATCCGAAGTTTCAAGAAATTAATGGATTCCAAGCCTACCTAAAAAAACCTTAAATGTTGCCATTATGTATGTAAGTGTATAAGAATTCTAGTTTGTCTTTGTGGGAATCAGATGATAATGTATATTCGTTAGTGTGTGCGTGTATGTTCACTCGCGTTTAGTATTCATTATGTTTCTGGATTTTCCGCATGTTGATTTGGGAACATTTTTAGATACATAACGTTTGATAAACGTAATTTACATTCTTTAAGAGTGGATTCAATAAAGTTTGCCGATGGAATATTCGTTAATTTCGGGAAACTTCGGATGGACTCGTTGTCTCTCCTTGAATTCGAAACGCCACAAATTATACTTAACATAAGCGTCCGGAAGTTGTTCGAAAATCTTTTTTTTTTTTAATCATTTTACCCCAACCAAGGCAATATGACCACTAAGACGCAACGCAAGAGGTTACTGAGTGTGAGAGAATAGAAAGTAAAAGAAATCATTATTAACTCCTAATAATTTAATTCTTTGTAAATGTTTAACAGAAAACGTTCGACTGAATAGAGTGAGTAAATAAATAAATAAATAAATACATCTGTCGCCATCGTAAACACGGCATGTCTAAAGAATGCGGGGGTGAGAGATGGAGAGATTTAAGAAAGGAAGAATATTTTTCTAAAAGACCGTAATAGAATTGTTAACATGATCAAAAGGTCGTCTGATTTGCGGCAAAGAGATCAAAGAAAAGATGCCAATTTCTTACTAACATTTTATTGACAAGAAACAAAGAGAAAAGAAAGAAACGAACATTAATTCCATCAATCGTTTTTGCTTTGAAAACCTCTTCACGGTCAACAGGTCTTTAGAGATCCTTTATATCAACACATCTTTTTACATGATTTATCGAATTTGTAGTAATCAAAAATAAAAAAAAATGTTCTCTCTGTCATGGGTGTTGTTATATTTTACAAGTGTTTTGTTTTTTGTTTTTTTTAAATGTTATCGATTAGTATTCAGTGACGTAGGCCAGAGTTTTGCATTGTGTAAATGCAAAGAAAAATCCAATAATCGAAACTAGAAATGCGTCTTCCGATTGCCTAGAGAGTAAAAGCATGGATTGGAATTACTGAAAAAAAAAATGATAATAACAATAAATTAAAATTAAAATTAAACAGAAGAAAAGTAGTGGGAAAATGCAATGAGAAAATGAAATGAATAATTAAAACATTCAGAAAGACAGAAGAATTTTTGTGGCGGAAATGGCCCAGTTGTGCTTCTCTTTCGGAGTTTTGATAAAAGTTCAATTGCAAGTAATTCATTCTTTATGCAAAACAAAGAAGGTGTAATTAACGAGAAAAAAAAGTAAAACAAATAAATTAAGTTTTAAAAAAAGGAAGGAAAATGAATAAAAACAAAGGTAAATGTAAAAAAAAAAAAAAAAAAGAAAGAAAAGGTCAAAGAGAAAAACGAAAGAAAATTATTTATAAAAATAAGCGATGATCTGACTTATGGCTGGGGTAGTAGCATATTTTTCTATCACTGCTGCGACGATTCGAAGTTCGTGCCCGGAGTAAATTCTTGGATTTCAAATACTGATTTTCAAGGCAGGCAGACTCTCTCTAGTTGGTATATAGCTGTAATACGATCCTCTTCTTTATATTCCCTCCATTCTTCCGCATACTTGCAACACAGTCCTACTGTTCTTATATAGAACACGAGGACAGCACGATCTTCCTAACTGTTGGAATCTGTACCGTAGAAATCCGAGATTTCCTCTTTTTTTGTTGCTAAAATTCACCCAATACAAGGCCAAAGAACAACTCAAGGTAGAGAGTAACTGAATAAGTTGTGTGACTGAGGACGAAGTGAAGATTGGAAGGATATGGCTGATACATAACCATTGACTCAAGACTTGAAAAACGGTGAAGAAAGCTTCCACGTTGGAATTTGTTCAAAAAAAAAAAATTACATCGCAAGTTATATAAAATTGACGCAACACAATCTTCCTAAACTTTATACCACACCCTTTTCTTGTTTCTTATTAAACTATACACAGTAAATATTACGAAACACTGAAGCTGATGTTCGAGTCCTAGTAGAAAAATAAAATTTCGAAAGCTGATTTTTACGGGACGTCAACGGTACTCATCTCGTAGATTGGTACAGAACATCTTTTAAAGCGTAGCTAAGATGTGGCACAAGTGAAAGCGTGGGGCACCCAGTGAGAACCGAACTCACTACTCACTCGTCATTGATCTCGCGAGAAAAGCTTGTTAACCATCACACCACGTTGAAGTGTCCAAATGATTTTCTAAGCGTAGCTTAGATGCGGCGCAAGTGAGAATGTAGAGCACCCAGTCATTTCCCAACTCACTACTCAGTCGTAATTGATCACGCGAGACAAGCTTGTTAACCATCACACGACGTCAAAGTGTTCAAATGATTTTCTAAGCGTAGCTTAGATGTGGCGCTAGTGAAAGCGTGGAGCACCCAGTGAGGACCGAACTCGCTACTCAGTCGTGATTGATCTCGCGAGACAAGCTTGCTAACCATCACACCTCGTCGAAGTTTCGAAAAGATTTCCTAAGCGTAGCTTAGATGTGGCGCTAGTGAAAACGTGGAGTACCCAGTGAGGGCCGATCTCACTATTTAGTCTTAATTGATCACGCGAGACATGCTTGCTAAACATCACACCACAAGA